TTCAATATTTCATGTAACAAATCATAATATTTTAACTGTAGTGTGAAGTGGTATTTCAATATATGTTACACTTTACAATTAAATAAATATTTCTGAGTAAATACAGGGCAGTTTTGATATTATTAATGAAGTAAATTAATCAGTAATTACATTTTTGAAATTTTTTAGAAACTGTTTTATCTTTAAGATGATTGATTTTCCTTGAAAAACGCCAAAAACTTCTCGCTTTGTTTTAACCACTCTGTAGCTAATTCATATTGAAATACATTTCGCTAAATTAGGGAATTTTGGTCTGATCGCCTTCTAAATATATAGTTAAACCTTTCTGCCTAATAGGTATGTGCTTATAGTTGGTTTACCACTCTCATAAAATAATTTTCAATTTCTTCGTCATAAAAAAAAATGGTAAACTTTAAAAGTGAGGACATTAAGAAAAGGAAATGTAGCAGAATATGGCGTTAAGGCTGGTGATTTTCTCACCCTTTTTACTTTATAGTCAGTTTGGCGAAGTACTTTTTGGGATACCGGTCGACTAATAGCCCTTTTTATCGAGGGGCTTTCGGGAATGACGTCGCTCTTTAACTGGAACGTATTGCACATCGAGATTTTGGTTACCGATTTAAATGTATGAACCAAAACGATTGAAACGTAAATGGATAAAAAGTAAGTAACCCTGTAAGGTAAACTTTTAAATAAAAAAAGATTACAACGCATTAGTATCCCCTCATTAATCTGCATCTATAAAGTTACTGGAAAAGACACTATAAAACTGGGTAATTTAATATAAACTGTAAATTCTGACAAAACGTTCAAGAACTAAAGCCTTGAAATAAATTAGAGGACATTACTCTAAATATTAATTTATACAATGTAAATTTATATCTAATGATTAGATAGTAAAACATGTTAAGACAATAAAAAAATGACTTACCTCTCCATGAGCTACAGCATCTCCTGGAATGAACATTTCTGGATAGATGTTGTCCAGGTACCATTTGAAGGACTTACATTTGAGCTTCTCGCGTAATTCCTTCCTGTTGCTAACATCCCCGAAATCTCCCAGATCGTTCCCTATTCTAGAGTAGTAATACTTCGCGTAATCGTCCATCCATACTTCCGCCAAACGAACTGAATTTCTTCGCAAAACATTTACCCCCGACCGCCATTTATAAGGGGAACGTTTCCGGAAAATGTGTCCCACATGTGAACAGGGCACTATTTCTAATGTACCACCACACATCCAAGTCTTGAACGATAGTTCCAGATTCTCGCCACCCCAAATATCGAAACCGCTATCATAAGTGCCCAGACGTTCGAAAAATTCCTGGAAAGGAAGAAAACATGATTGCAGAAATGTTGCAAAGCAAGAAAATAATCTTGCATTTTTCAAGTAAAGGCAATCTGAGCAGCGCACATTGGATGACACTGAAGCAACCCCCGGCTCAGGCAGTACAAATTAGACGATACTGAAACAACCCTCCGGTTAAGTAGAATATTAATTTTTTAAGAAGATTTTTAGTACTCAGGCATATTTCAGTATTTTAAAAAGGAAAAGTAGCAGCATAGGCATATTTATTTATTTCAGTACAGATTAGACGGTAATGGGACTATCCCCATTTAAATGGCTGTGTGCGTTATAGGATTAGAAGATACTGGACCTAAGCCAGATTTAGGTGGTAGTAGTATAGATTAAATATTACTGGGTCTAACCCAGATTTAGGTAATAGTTTAGATTAGAAGTTATTGGGATAACCCTCCACTAAAATAAATGTGTTCTGATCATAGATGTGATTTGTTTGAAACACTTGCATTTAAAATGAAAATACAAAATAAAAAATACCTATTTATATCTTGCATTTAAACACCTTTTTGAGAAAAGCATTTTTATTTTATACTTCTCCAAACGTATTTTTTATTTATAAAATGCAAAATATATGTTTTTGCCGTTAAAATTTTTGCTAGTATTACCGATCAGATGTTATATAAAATGATGAATGAAAGTTGCTCACATTGGCCACTGAAGGTATTAGAAGCTTTAAAAGAAAACAAAGAGATATTCCATGAATGCCTCCTAATTCTTTAACTGAAGAACGCCAAAAAATTGTAAACTCCTTAGAAATGAATAATCTAAAAAATATTGGATCGATATTGTTTTTTGGGTTCAATTTCATGGTCCGTGGAATATTGAAGTTGTTAATTGATATCAGCACTTGCCAAATTACCACTTATCGTACCTTTAAAAGGAACCACGAAATTCTATGAATTACGACAAAAAAGCTCGCAAAACAATATCGAATTGATATACGCCAGCTGTGTAAAACTGAAAACTACAAGATATTGTGGTGTGCTAATAAATGCCTATAATCCAAAATTTTTAGAAAACGCTTCCAAAAACTTCACTTATTAGATGAACCCAAAAAGTTGTAAATATGTTGATATAAAATGACTGATGTTGATTTTACATCAATAAAATTATTTACAACCCCATTTTGGATCTGATCTTTCACGGTAAACAGACTATTTTGGCATCAGTTTTTTTTCCAATTAAAACGGGTAACAAAGGTAAATAAGGAAGCATATAGATAGATATTTCTTGCTGAACTGAAGGACCTATAACATAAAGATAGAAAAACTATACCTCTATCACTTCAAACAGAAAAATATGAATCATACTTAATCTTCACAGCTGGTGATATAATAGTGCAAACACCACTATTAACCTAGTAAAACTTCAATATTTAAAAAATGAGCAAATGCCTGCAAGGTTTTCTTAAATTATATTTTACATTTAAGTAAATGTAGAAAATTAAATAGGTGTATTACAAAAAAGTATTTATCTGAAAATGCGTATTTTGCATTTAGAACTTAAAATATAAAAGGGAAATCTATTTTGTATTTTACGTTTGAAATAGCAAATCAAAAAAGTATTTGCATTTTGCATTTAAATACTTTTTTGAGAAAAGCATTTTGTATTTTATTTAAAATACTTTTCCAAACGTATTTTCTATTTGTAAAATGCAAAATACCTTTTTGCCGTTAAAAGTTTTGCTAATATCACCGATCAAACACTATATAAAATGATNTGAAAATGCGTATTTTGCATTTAGAACTTAAAATATAAAAGGGAAATCTATTTTGTATTTTACGTTTGAAATAGCAAATCAAAAAAGTATTTGCATTTTGCATTTATATACTTTTAAAAAACCATTTTGAACATCTCTAGTTATGATGAATGTAAGCCGCAGACGATCGATATTGGTGGTACTATTGATGTACCCGAATATCGACAACTGCGGGACATAAATCAAATGGGAAGTTTCCGGAAATAATCAAAAAGAAATAATCTAATAGAAGATAGTCGATAAAAAACAGTTAATATGAATAGTGCACCAAAGAAACAAGTAAACAATGTATTTTGAGCCGATTTAAATAACCGATTACCACATGTAACAACCTCCTTAAAACCTAGTATAAATGGGACGATTTTGAAACTCTATTGGCGAATGACCCTTAAGATATGCGACGGTCGTTTTTTACAAAGATATGTAGATTATTACTAGATGAGACAAAAAAAAAGCTCATCTAAAGACTACTTAAGAGGCCCAAATAATACATAAATAACTGTTGGATTTTATTGTAGCAATAACTGCTTTTAAAGATGCGGCACTATGTTCATTACGCTTATCCAATTTAGTATACCCAACATAAACTTCGAATCGATAACGTAGATAATGGGGAACTGCATTTTTGTTTACTCTACTAACAAGTAAAATTCACGATGGGAATTAAGTTGAAGACAAACAATTTCCTTAAGTCGTTGGAATGTGCATCGCGCAGTGTGGATTCTATAGTGCATACATTCATAAACTTTAAGAAATTAGACAAACAATAAGAAAAAACACTTCCCTCAAATCTCGAAGTTGTGTTTAATAATAAGACGCGGCCTGATCAACGAATTTGCAAGGCTAATGAAGTAAACTACGAACTCCGTGAAAGATTTGGATCTCCAGAATCCAGTTAGTTTTAAACTGAGCTGATTATCCTAACAAGCTAACTTGCTTTTTTGATAAAACGAAAACAAAAAACCTAGAAATATCGGAACTAACACCAGAATAGATATTAATCATTTGGCAGTTCCAGGAACTCAGTGTGTATTATTTCTCTGACAGCCAACATCGCTTGAGACTAGTAGTGCTGTGGTTGAACACGGCTATTACAAACAAATTCAAGAAAATCATCTTAGCTCAAAAAAATTACTGACAAATTTTATTTAATTGTGTATGTAGTTTACTAAATATAACATGTACATTGATGTGCTAGTATGATATACACATTCCGTAATTTTTTACTGGTATGCAAGAGAAGAAAAAGTATGGAAAGAGCGAACATATATTGATAGTAGACGAAAGATTAAGCTAATTTTAGGTATCCAGGAAATCAGATAAGTCAGGACGGAAGGAGTAGTAGGGATATAAAGCAGAGGATAACGTAGGGTCGAGTCGCCTTCAATAAAAAGAAGTCACTCCTATGCTCGTGAACGGTTAATTTTAGAATTCAAAAAAAATTGTTAAAGGTGTATGTTGAAGTGCGGCGCTGTACCGGTCCGAAACATGAAAGGTGGGCGCGGTGGAAAAGAAAAGGTTAGAAGCGTTACAAACGTGGTGTTACAGGCGAATGATGAGGATACCGTGGATCGAGAAGCTTAAAAATGAAGAAGTATTAGAATGAATGAAGGAAAACAGAGGACTCTATGGAAGTTAATAAGAAATAAGTGAGATAGGTTGGTATTAGGACACCTTCTCAGACATAAAGGTCTAGTCAGAGACATATTAGAGGTAGAAACAAAAGTCAGGAGGGGTAGAGGTAGACCTAGATTAGATTGCTGTTAGCAAATCGTTAAGGATATGGGTTGCTCTAGCTTTAGGGAAATGCGAAGGTTAGCTCAGGATAGAAAAGAGTAAAGATGCATGTCCAACCAGTCTTAGGACTGACGACCTTATGATGGTGATAACTTTGGACAAGCACCCCTACTTTTTGCGATCTGCGCATTTCTCGAAAACTAGAGCAACCTGCAAGGTCTGACGAAGGAAGCTGGCGAGCGGTGGCGCAGGTACTTGACCATTTATGACCTATTTGGGTAAGTCACTTGGAATCGATACACAAATAAGGTTTCAGTAGGCGTAAATTATAGTATTAATACAGATGCGACAGTAGCGTACTGGAAAACAATGTAAAAACATGACTTAACAAGACGAAAAAATTAACCTATTGCTTTTGTATTATAGTTAGTTTTCACATTCACTGTCATCATGGGAATCTCTATCACTGTCACCAACATCAACAATTAGTTCTTCTGTTTGTATGTCTATTACTTGCTCACTGATCCCTATTTTTAAATATTTAATCTACGCGTCTGATGGGAATACTGAAAAATGAGGGCTGCAATCTTTATACCTAAAACTGCCTACTTTTGCCACCGCGCATCCACGCCATTTTAAAATTTCCGCCAGCTTCCAGCGTCAGGCCTGTACATCACTATTTACAGGCAGTAATTTAATCCGGGTCTACTTTTGCCCTTTTTAACTCTTATTTCTGCTTCTGATGTGTCTTTAATTAGACCTTCATGTCTGAGATCTTTTTGCCCATTTTTGATCAACGCGTCCTCTGTTCTCCAACTCAGTCTAACACCTCTTTAGCCTATTCTATCGAAGGCATATTTAATATCGGCCTCTATTCCTTTTTCACGTATTTATCTATAAAAAGTACTTCATTTATGAAGCTTTCTGGGTGGTCAAATTCCTCCGCATTCTATTTATTGTTTAGTATCATGTACCTACACCACCGCTAATATTCATTGGCATACACATAGATATGTAACTATATCTGAGGAATGATATCAACGAAATATTGTAAACTTAATTATGGTGGTGTTTCCTTTGTGTGCAACGTCTGCATAGCACGTACAAGTGTACGAATTACACATCGTGAAAGTTGGACTTAAGCAGATAAGCTGATAGACGTACGTATCGGATGAGCAAGCGGGGCATTTCCTGGATGCTTCTCGAGTCGGAAGATCCAACTTTGCACATTTCTATGCAAATTACTTGTATAATTGCTACTGTATGTACAACGAAACAACTATACCGTAGACGGCCGGATACCACGGTATATAGCTACACCTATCTAACCTAACTAATTACCATTAAATTCTAATATGCCAAACCAGAACAGTAGAACAAAGAAATAAAATACCGGAATGTATCATAGTTCCAAGCATTAAATAAAATAATTCATAAAAATTATATCAAACGGTTATATTATTAA